AACAAACTATCTCATCATGTCATTGCAGCAGGTATCCTGGCTTCTTTCATGATATGACTGGAAGAGATCAATAGATCAATGAACTATTAATAACCGACTGAGCAAGATCAGCGGGATGACCTCTGTTTGGAACCTTTTGTTTTTATCCACATGCAAACGGTCTGGAGTGTTTGTTGGGTGCCTAGCTACTCAGGCAGCTGATGACTCTCAAGCCTGCTGTTATCAACGTGCATTTTCTGCTGCAGTGCTCTCAGAGCTGTTACACTCTTGAGACTAATATAATCAGTAAATGTGAGTGTTCAGGGCAGCAGTACCATTGCAGAGAATGCATCACATGACAGCCCCCCCCCCCCATGTGGAATCAAAGTGGGGATAAAAGCTGCCTGTAAACCAGATTTGTTTTGGTGTATGTTTATTAATAGTGATGAATGGAGATCCTTCAGGTTTTCACTGCCCAAGTGTAAATGAACTGCAATTTTGGTATTTCCCTCAAGAAAAATCATCTGAAATGTCTGTGGTTATATAAAAAAAAACTGAATTTGAGAGCCTGTTATGACTTGGTCTCTAGTTACCATGGTCTGTAGAATTAAGATTAATTGTGTGCTGGAGAACGCATGATTTAATACTATGCTTTATATGGAAAAAATGCAAAGTTAAATTTAGAGAACATGATTCATTTTACAAACAACCCAGCAATCTTGGAAGGCGCTTGTCTGACGCTGATTTCGGTAGTTTTGCAGCATACACAATCATAGCAGAAATTCAGGCTTAGATCACAGGAACAGAATTCTACACTCTTAATTTGACTGTGCAGTTTTGAAAACCTCTTATCACGGGACCTGTGTGTGTGGATTCCAGGCAGGCAAGCAGCGATTTAAACGTTTCATTTCAGTGTGCAACTTGAGCTAGGTTCAGTAATATTTGTTGCTCAAATAATGGCCTGCCGCAGTTGGCTTGCCTCTCCATCCTTTATTAAATCTAGGATTTTTTTTTTTAGAATAAAAAGAGGTTGAGTTGAAGAGATGAGTTTATTTTGAAGTCCCCATGTTGAGAAGCCATGAGGGATGTTTATAGCTGCAGCTGCATTCCTTGCTGGTGAGGTCATGTGTAC